GCATTTTCAAGTGGTAAATGCAAGGGTTTGAATCAAATTTTGGAGACTGAGGTAATTTTCATGCATATATATATCATGCATTTTTACATCCTGATAGAGGCAGAGTAAACTTTGTTATACATTGGTTGAACACTCAAAAACAATCTGGAATATTTCTATTATCAAATATCCTCTGTGAGGGCAGAGGATTTTGTCTGTTTTGCTCACTGATTTATTCTCAGTGCCTACAACAGTGCTTGGTATATATGAACTCCTTAAAAATATCTGTTGAACATGTGACTACACCTTCATGAAAGTAATTATTAACTGGACAGTAAATATTCCTTCTAGGTTTGCAATATGTTCAGTTCAGTTCAGTTCAGTCGCACAGTCGTGTCTGACTCTGCAACCCCATGAACCACAGCACACCAGGCCTCCCTGTCCATCACCAGCTCCCAGAGTCCACCCAAACCGTTGTCCATTGAGTTGGTGATGACATCCAACCATCTCATCCTCTGTCAACCCCTTCTCTTCCTGCTCTCAATCTTTCCCAGCATCAGGGCCTTTTCAAATGAGTAAGCTCTTCGCATCAGGTGGCCAAAGCATTGGAGTTTCAGCTTCAACATCAGTCCCTCTAATGAACACCCAGGACCGATCTCCTTTAGGATGGACTGGTTGGATCTCCTTGCAATCCAAGGGACTCTCAAGAGTCGTCTCCAACACCACAGTTCAAAATCATGAATTCTTCGGTGCTCAGCTTTCTTTATAGTCCAACTCTCACATCTGTACATGATCACTGGAAAACCATAGCCTTGACTAGATGGACCTTTGTTGGCAAAGTAATGTCTCTGCTTTTTAATATGCTGTCTAGGCTGGTCATAACTTTCCTTCCCAGGAGTAAGCGTCTTTTAATTTCATGGCTGCAGTCACCATCTGCAGTGATTTTGGAGCCCAGAAAATAAAGTCAACCACTGTTTCCACTATTTCCCCATCTATTTCCCATGAAGTGATGGGACCGGATGCCATGATCTTAGTTTTCTGTATGTTGAGCTTTAAGCCAACTTTTTCAGTCTCCTCTTTCAGTTTCATCTAGAGGCTCTTTTTTTCTTCACTTTCTGCCATAAGGGTGGTGTCATCTGCATATCTGAGGTTATTGATATTTCTCCCGGCAATCTTGATTCCAGCTTGTGCTTTCTCCAGCTCAGCATTTCTCATGATGTACTCTGCCTGTAAGTTAAATAAGCAGGGTGACAATACACAGCCTTGACGTATTCCTTTTCCTATTTGGAACCAGTGTGTTGTTCCATGTCCAGGTCTAACTGTTGCTTCCTAACCTGCATACATGTTTCTCAAGAGGCAGGTCAGGTGATCTTGTATTCCTACCTCTTTCAGAATTTTCCACAGTTTATTGTGATCCACACAGTCAAAGGCTTTGGCACAGTCAATAAAGCAGAAATTGATGTTTTTCTGGAACTCTCTTCCTTTTTTGATGATCCAGCAGATGTTGGCAATTTGATCTCTGGTTCCTCTACCTTTTCTAAATATGTTTGGCTAAATTTTAGAAATTGAAGTATCTTTTTTCACAATTTATTTTTCTGGTTTTCTAAACCTCTGAGAGAATTTCACTTGATGAAACACATTTTAAAATGTTTTATTTGATGCTATTATTAAAGGTAAAATAGAACATATTTCGAATGGATTGGGATAGCAGGACTTCTTAGAATTAGGTCATTTTCTTAATCCTCCCTCTTGTGTAGAGATTGCAACATGCATGCAATGCTTAAAAAAAAAAAAGATCTGTAGTATTCTTCTGCCAGTTGTAATAATGCGTAATACCTAAGGGTAAGATAAGAATAGAGTGGTAGTTTAATTCTTATTGTAACTGCCCTATTTTTATTTTTGCATATGTTTGCATGGTATTTATAAAATCACACACAGACACTCAATTTTTTTAGATGTCCTTCCTAGCTTTGCAGTAGGAGACATGTATATGTATGCATATTGACTCATAGTAAGCAAAAATGGGGTGTTTTTATTCTCTCACATTCATTAAGGAGGGTAAGGCCAATAATTCACAAGAGAATGAGTTGAAAAGGTTTCTATATTATGTAATCCCAGTGCTCATCATTGAGCAAATGATGCTAAAAATACCACAGGCAATAGTCTTTTTGTGTTGTTTACTAGGATAGAAAATGTCTTCAGCATTGGCATTACTCACCATGATACCTAATTTAAAAAAAATGACACCAACTTTTTAACATAAGGAAGTGGTTGGACCCATGATATATAATTTTTAAATTCTGTGATAAAAATTCATAAAATGAGATGCTTCAGATCTATTTACCTCATTACTTGTTTCTGTTCATGACCCAAACTATCTAAATAATTGCAACAAATGCATTTATTCTGTTACTGATTGCAAATGGGAAGGTTTCTTTTTCCCCGCTTTTGTCTTCAGGCCTGTCAATATGCATATTTTCTAAAATTTTTTAATGTAATACACTGGCATAATCAGATCATAATATCCATCACAAGTTATTTATATCATTTCATGATGTTTTTAGAACAATAATTAAAAGTTTTTGTAATTTTTTTCATTTATTTTTATTAGTTGGAGGCTAATTACTTTACAATATTGTAGTGGTTTTTGCCATACATTGACATGAATCAGCCATGGATTTACATGTATTCCCCATCCCGATCCCCCCCTCCGTCCTCCCTCTCTACCCGATCCCTCTGGGTCTTCCCAGTGCACCAGGTCCGAGCACTTGTCTCATGCATCCAACCTGGGCTGGTGATCTGTTTCACCCTTGATAGTATACTTGTTTCAGTGCTGTTCTCTCGAAACATCCCACCCTTGCTGTCTCCCACAGAGTCCAAAAGTCTGTTCTGTACATCTGTGTCTCTTTTTCTGTTTTGCATATAGGGTTATCGTTATCATCTTTCTAAATTCCATATATATGCATTAGTATACTGTATTGGTCTTTATCTTTCTGGCTTACTTCACTCTGTATAATGGGCTTCAGTTTCATCCATCTCATTAGAACTGATTCAAATGAATTCTTTTTTTAAATTTTAAATTGGTTATTAACTACCAATGAAAACTGAGAATTTCCTTAGTTAGATACCTTTGTGCATTAATAGTTTGCTCTGTTTTTTATTTTTTTAAAATCTCTAACAGATTTTTTAAATGACCATCTATCATCTGATTCTTTAAAATTTTGGAATGAATTGATAGCTATATTAATCCATACTTAATTATAAAAATATAATGTCCTACAGGGTTTAGAGCAGTGTAATACAAATTTCTCTTTGTGTTTATAGAGCATATCATTGATACATACAAATAACATCCAGAAGCATATTATGATGTATCATGATACTAGATATTAAAACATATTTAATATACCAAATTGAGACTATATCCAACAAATAAAATTGAGAATAGGAATTGAGAATTAATATACAAATTGAAGAGAAATTTGCAAATTACAAATGAATAAAAATTCCTGTTTGAACATTATCAGAACTAAACTGAAATAAAATGGCAAATTTTATGGAATGAAAAGTAATAAACAAGGAGGGGGAAAGCAGCCAGAGATATTGTTTGTTTTTGGACTCTCTATTTTAACTTGACAAAATTTTTTTAAATGTCCTTCTTATTTCTAAACCCTAGTCAAGCTGTTTCTTTTAGTTGGGTAATTCTTATGTTTCAGAGTCAGACACAACTTATGACTGAAAAACAACAACAGTTATGTCAGTTTGTAGATGTGAAAACCCATTTTTACATGGACTACTTCATGCAAACAATAAACAGATTCTGTGAGTTGGTATGTCTTGTATTCCAGTTCTCTCACTGAATGTTCAGATGCTAACAAATCATAAATATACAAATTTAAACTGGTGATATAGCTTCTGTTTCAGTATCTCCAACTACATGGAATTCAGTCTCTCCTGAAAATCATTCTTTTTCTGGAATTAATAGGCAGCTTTACATATTGATCTGAAAGTTGCCTCTTTGTAATTTTATACCAGATCTTGTTCCTCTCATTCAAAGAAAGACAACTTTAATCCCTTTTTCACACAATTGTCCTTCCCATGTTTAAGCATTTGCCATATCAAACCCTCTCTCTCTGAAAAGACATTTCTTCTTTAATCCAAACTTCCTAACCTAGATCTATATTTACATTTTGATGCCCAGAGCTGAACACATGGAATATTGCATAAAACATTCATTTCACATGGAAGAACTGCATTTGAAAGCCACATTGTAACAAAGAGTAAATGAGTATATTTTTGTTATTAGTGACGAATATCCCTTTACTTTTCCTTAACTATTGAATGAAATGTTTTAAATGATTTTTATTACTTTTGACTATCTTTTTTAAAAAATGTATTTTTAACTGAAGGAAAATTGTTTTACAATACTGCATTACTTTATTTTTAAACTTTTTTTAAATTTTATTTTAATTGGAGGCTAATTACTTTACAATATTGTAGTGGTTTTTCCATACTGCATTACTTTTCACTATCTTATTATAACATTATCTTTTATATATTTTCTCAATGATGAACACCTTTATAAATACTTCGGGTCTCATATAATCAAGGTATCTTGCTTAATTTATCTTTCATTTTAATGTAAAAATGCATAATATTAGATTAAAAACAAATCTGTCATTAGTTTATTTAAGAGCGTCTACTGTGCTAGTATTTTCAGTTAGTGATTTTGGTATTTTTTAAATTTTATTGAAGTATAGTTGATTTACAAGGTTGTTTTATTAATTTCTGTTGTACAGCAAAGTGATTCAATTGTACATATACATATTCTCATTCATATTATTTTCCATTGTGTTTTATTACAGGATATTGAATATAGTTCCCTGTGGTATACAGTAGGATCTTGTTATTTCATTTAATGATTTTAACTTAAAACTGAGCATTTAGTTAACTTACATTTAGTACTTGGCTTTAATAATTTCTTCTTCCTCTTCCTCTTTCTTTTCTCTTCTCTTTGACAGTTCTCCGTGGGGGATACAAAAAACACCCTAGTGCAATCCTGCCTGGTATGGACTTGTTGTCCGGGACGTATATATTTGCGGTTCTGTTAGCATGTGTCGTGTTTCAGTCTGGCGCCCAGGAGAAGAACTACACCATTCGGGAAGAAATGCCAGAAAACGTCCTCATAGGCGACTTGCTGAAAGACCTCAACTTGTCGCTAATTCCAGACAAGTCTTTAACAACTCCTATGCAATTCAAGTTAGTATACAAGACCGGAGATGTGCCACTGATTCGAATTGAAGAGGGCACAGGTGAGATCTTCACTACTGGAGCTCGCATTGATCGTGAGAAATTGTGTGCTGGCATCACAGTGGACACCCGTTGCTTTTATGAAGTGGAGGTTGCCGTTCTGCCGGATGAAATATTTAGATTGGTTAAAATACGTTTTCTAATAGAAGACATAAATGATAATGCACCATTATTCCCTGCAACGGTTATCAATATATCAATTCCAGAGAACTCGGCTATAAACTCTCGATATGCTCTCCCAGCGGCCATTGATCCAGACACAGGAATAAATGGAGTTCAAAACTACCAACTAATTAAGGTGCGTTTTAAAAATACTTTGTTAAAGACAGCTCAATTTTTAAAGGGAAGAAAAGGGGATCTTAGTGTACTTCATACTTTGAGTGATTATCTCCACAATTATTCGAAGTTTAAAGCATAGCAGAGAAAATTTATCAATGCAATTTTTGCAATGGCATGGGGTTAAGAATCATATTAAGTATACTCGTTTTCAAGCAATTGTTTGTGTTTCCACTAAAAATCTATTATAGGAGTCAGACAACGAGCTCAGCAGTGCTGCTTGAAAATCAATAACTTACCCAACATCTTACTTTTCATCTGTCTAGTCATGACTCTACCTCAAACTTGGCCTAAACAAGCAAATCTAAGCATTAAGAATGAATCCACAAAACCTATCAGTCTTTCTAAGTGATTATTTTAGACAGAAAGCTTTATCTTGTCATTTGAAAAGATGCCAAATAAATCTACTTTAGGGGTGAATAGAACTTTTTTATTACTAGCATTTCTACACTTATATAGTAATAACAAATATATTTCATGCTGATTTCAAGTCAAGGAAAGATATTTAAGCATCTGAGTAACAAAATGAGATTAAATTTTAGACACGTGTTGTTAATGTTAAATGTTTTCATTTTGTTCCAAATCTTTGAAAACACGGAACATTCATTTGCTATAAACGGTAAGTTTTTGTTTTTTTTGTTTTTTTTTTAGCTAAAAAATTCCTTACTCTAAAGAACCTATTTTGGTTTGATTTGGACCTTGTGATGGGAAATGCAGAGGGAAGAATAGATGAAATATTTGATATTTTTTAAAATCGTGAAGAGGGAATGAATTTATCAAGTGAATGGGTGATTCCTTTTAATTACCTATATGGTGTATAGAGTAGTAGAAAACTCAGATTTGGGTATGTGAAATAATGCATACCCAAGTAATACATACACAATCACTTGAATGATTTTGGGAAATGTGTAAAAGAACAAATGTGTAGATATTATATAGACATGGTCAAGTGATTGTCAAAGTTTTATAAGCATTTTCTGACTGTTCACTACAAGATTATGATTATCATGATGACCAATGATTAAAAGAACATATAAATAAGATATTTTTATGTATATCATCTGAAGATTTTTGCTGATGCTGATATGTTGTAGAGATATATTTATTTACAAATACATTCATAAATCTAACTCTAGAGATTTTTTGAGTAATTTCAAGTGAAATGCAAATTTGTGTGTGAATTATAAGAAGTAAAAACTGAAAAAGGATGAATGTTATAATGAGCATTTTTAGGTAAGGTCCCTACAATGGTATCCCTTTATTTGATGAAATGGAAAAATATGCAGGAGTCAGAAAGATATAGATCGCAATTTTGTGCTTGTGACCAACTAGAAAAGCCACCTCCAGCTTAATCTTTATGACCTTTAGTTTCTCCAATCATAATATGGGGATGGTGCTATAAACATCATAGAAGTAAAATTGGGAAGAGTAAGCACTAAGTAGAGGGTAGATATACCTGCATAAAATATTTTTGGAGATGGATTGAAACAATTAACTGTTTATAGAAATGTGAGGCTTATCACTTAAAATAGTAATTGTGTAGCAGAGTAGATACTATCTCTAAAGTTACAATGTCCAGTAAAACTTTCTGCATCAATGAGGGAAGTTCTGTAATCTGTGGTATCAAATATGGTAGCTACTGGCCACAAGTGGCTATTGAGTACTTGAAATGTGGTTAGTGATACCAAGGAACTGAATTTTTAATTTTACTTAATCTCAATTTTAGTAGCCACTTGTGGTAACTGGCTACCATATTAGAGAGCATAGCTAAAACAAAGAAAAAATAGTTTACTGAAATCAAAATGAGACCTTACCAAATTTAAATCAAGAATTAGTAATAGGATCTCTTCACCCAACCATCCTGACAAAAGTGTTATTTTGAAATGTAGTGCTTTACTCAAAGAATAATTTTGTCATGCTTCCCCCAGGGCAACTTAATGAACTTCCAAGAAATTTGTTTGTCATGAAAGCTGCTTAACAAATTCAAATAAAACAAATAAACCCACTGGAATGATTTAGGTTTGTTGAAGTCTTTTTTCATTTGAATTTCTTTGAAAGATTGTCAGCAAGTGACATAAAGACAGGTTCACTAGAGGCACTGAGATGAGTCTTAGAAATAGATATGCTCTAAAATTTCATTCTGTTTTAGAATGTGTGCTAAGCCAAAAGTGAACTATATGATATACCTAAAGCACTAGGGCATTTGTATGGCCCCAAGGGCAAATACTGTCCTGACAGCTTGTTAAAAATAATGAGAATGGAACACAGAACATACCCCTGGGCTTGCAGAAGGCCATGACATGTGTTAACTGATTGCACTCTGACTTACAAAAAAGTCCTGTCATAAAAGTGGCATATATACTGGGGGGGATAGGGAGGTTAAATAAAAAGAAAGAAAATAAACATGTTACAATCCATCCATAAACTTTATTAAAGTGTTATAATTCGAAAGTAAGCCAACCATAATAATTTATTTTAAAAGATACCCTGTCCTGCAGAATAGGTTGAAAATTGAATTAATGTTAACTTGTTTTATATTTGCTGAATAGATTGGACTAGCAAAATCACAGTTTATCCTAAGGAAGTATGAGATTTGTACTTAAACGTTCAGATGACAAAGGGAGAGAAGTGGGAGATATAGAAGAAAATTAGGTCAGTTTACACATGAAAGGTCTTGTTATTAACAGATGTATGTTAATTAACAAGATAATTAACAGAAAATATAGTCATTTGATAAATGTCAAATTGTGTATAATAAAAAGTAGTCTAGACAAAACTTATAATATTGATCTTCAAAACCATAACATATAGTTTAATTTCATTTACACATTTTTATGATATTATGTATGCTTTGAAATAAACAGGAAAGTGTTATTTCACATTTTAAATAGTTGGGAATTTCATTTCAGAGTAATAATTTATTTTGTTTATACTGATATGATTAGTAAATTGGAAACCAGAATAAGGTCTTCTGAATCTTAGATTTGACTGACAGAAACACAGACCGATAACCTTGAGAGTGGTGATCACAGAAAGTTTAACAGGAGAGAAAAGAAACAAAAGAAGGCAAAAAAAAAAAGTGAGGAATGAATGAGTAACATGATTAACAAGTGATTCTGCTTAGTAAAAAGAAAATTATGATGTAATAAAGCTTATATGACCATGGCAAGGTTAAATTGCAACTTTTTTGAGAGATTAGATTACTCTAAAGAAAAAAAAAGATGCATGTATAAAAGTTTTTGATGTGAAAATTGTCACTTAAAAAAGCATCAAGAAATGAAATCTTCTCTTTTCCCTGTTTCAAGTAAACCCATGCTATAATGAGAATTTCCCATGATATTCTGTTTTAACTATCCTTAATTTGGACTAGCCATGCTAAAGATCTATAACTATATATCTGTTATACACACATATATCTGTGTGTATACATATGCATGAATGCCATTTTAATATATGACAAATATACCATTTTAAAATGTTATTAAATAATATATTTTAAACTATATATATTATACATGGGATATAGTATACACTACATGTAAATTATACGTACATATATGCATATTGTATACCATATATATAATTATCTGCCTCTTGAGAAACCTGTATGCAAGTCAGGAAGCAACAGTTAGAACTGGACATGGAACAACAGAGTGGTTCCAAATAGTAAAAGGAGTATGTCAAGGCTGTATATTGTCACCCTGCTTATTTAACTTCTATGCAGAGTACATCATGAGAAATGCTGGGCTCAAGGAAGCACAAGCTGGAATCAAGATTGCTGAGAGAAATATCAATAACCTCAGATATGCAGATGACACCACCCTTATGGCAGAAAGTGAAGAGGAACTAAAAAGCCTCTTGATGAAAGTGAAAGATGAGAGTGAATAAGTTGGCTTAAAGCTCAACATTCAGAAAACTAAGATCATGGCATCTGGTCCCATTACCTCATGGGAAATAGATGGGGAGACAGTGGAAACAGTGTCAGACTTTATTTTTTTTTTTGGCTCCAAAATCACTGCAGATGGTGATTGCAGCCATGAAATTAAAAGACGCTTGCTCCTTGGAAGGAAAGTTATGACCAACCTAGACAGCATATTAAAAAGCAGAGACATTACTTTGCCAACAAATGCCCGTCTGGTCAAGGCTATGGTTTTTCCAGTGGTCATTTATGGATGTGAGCGTTGGACTGTGAAGAAAGCTGAGCACCGAAGAATTGATGCTTTTGAATTGTGGTGTTGGAGAAGACTCTTGAGAGTCCCTTGGACTGCAAGGAGATCCAACCAGTCCATCCTAAAGGAGATGAGCCCTGGGTGTTCATTGGAAGGACTGATGCTGAAGCTGAAACTCCAGTACTTTGGCCACCTCATGCAAAGAGTTGACTCATTGCAAAAGACCATGATGCTGGGAGGGATTGGGGGCAGGATGAGAAGGGGACGACAGAGGATGAGATGGCTAGATGGCATCACTGACTCGATGGGCATGGGTTTGGTTAGACTCCGAGAGTTGGTGATGGACAGGGAGGCCTGGTGTGCTGCGATTCATGGGGGTCACAAAGAGTCGGACATGACTGAGCGACTGAAGTGAACTGAACTGAACTGAACTGATGTGTCATCTATTATGTATATGCCACTTATTCCTAGTAGTATTTGATAGAGTTGTTGTCCAGAAGTAGGAAATTACAGTGTGTTTTTAACTTCCGCTTTGTTATTCCAATGGCCTGTTACTTATAAAATATCTTTTCAAATTCTAAGTCTTGGCATCAGGGAAACAGTATATTCACAAAGAGAAATATACTTCAAGCACCCAATCTGACTCAGTATATGGATATAAACCACAGGGATTTACTTCTTCCTATGGTTGGAACTCAGGGGAAATTAGTTCATGTAATGATGCTGCATATGTCTTCATTTTCTGCTTCAGATTTTCATCTTCTCCCACATATATCAATAGTAATATTTCTAT